GGGGCTCTTCTGCAGTTTTCTGCTGTTAAGGGCTCACGTGATTATACTGGACCCACCACAACCATCCAAGATAATCTCCCTATTTTCAATCCAGTTGATTTGTAACCTTAATTCCATCTGCAGGGTAATACCTGGATTGAATGAATAATCAGGAGATGGGACTCTTAGGGGCTAATCTCTAGAATTCTGCCTAACCATAACCACTTTTGCAGTAAAACTCTTCATTTTCAGCATATTCAGTCTGCAGTTTAATTGTTCAAATTTTTAGTTGTGCAGAGTAAAACTGATTGCTGGGAGAAGTAGCCGGGTGTAACTGTCTTTTAAAAACTAACGTTGTGTTTTGTACTAAAAGCTGTCTTTTAAAAACTAACATTGTGTTTTGTACTAAAAGCTTTTTTTCTTGATGTAGACTCCTAATCTTTACAAATAAACCAAGGCATTCATTCATAATTCTTCAAAATTTCTATTATTCTGGAACATTGTCTTTAGTAAATCAGAGCTCTGTTTTATATAGTCTTGATATTTTGGGTGGGGATTTACCCTAATATGCAACTCTGGTTTCTTATTTTAGAATGTAACTTTTTCTCAGATTTGTTTCTGTTATATTCTGGCTCGAAGAATGTATTTCTTATAAACATGCGGATTTACATTGGTGTGAATTCTGTCCAGATATGTTGGAAAATAATTATTTTAGGTTTTTGAGTATTAAGAAACTTGGAATTATGATGAGAAAGGCAGATTTTTCACTGTAATTCTGGAGCCAAAATGTGAAACCTAGGTGTTTTTACTTTTTTAGAATAGCATTATTGGAGTAATAATATGTAATTAGACATATCTGAAAATTGCTAGCTTAATACAGTTGAGGATAAATATGAATTAAAGCATAGCTATCTAGCTAATATGTTGCTATTTGTGTACTTCAGTTATATTTATTCAAACAGTATATTTAAATTGAGATATAATTTGTTTCCAGTGTCTTCCTAGCAAAACAGAATTGCTTACAGATTGTCCATGTGGCAAAGATATCGATACCTTCTATTGTATTATTTCTTAAAGTATGAGTTGGATAACCTTTCTGGTTGTGTGTTCGGAGTTCTATAATGAAAATTTGCAACTTTTCTCCCTTCTCTACTAAAGGATGTTTCTGTTAATGATTAAAAAAAATCATACCTGAGTCAGCCTTTTATGCTTTGCAAGAGTACTTCATCGATGCTCATTTAATGCTTGCTGTTCTGTTTGGTAGTTAGGGTAAGCGTTCTCATCGCCAGGCTTAATTAAGGGCAGAGATGGCTTCCCTTTGTTCACAGTTGTACCAGTAGTTTTTATGTATTGTTTCATTAAATCCTCTCTCTCCTAACCCCCAGTCTCCCTACCCTATCTTAATTTTCTTCATAGTATGGACTACTGTCTGAAATCACTGAATTACTTCTTTGTATCTTGATTGTCTTTCCCACTGGAATGTAAGCTCTGTGATCCAAGAACTTTGTACCACTCATACCTAACAAAACCTGGCATGGGGTAGACGCTCATAACTTGGCCGGCCTTACGTAGCTAGTAATTAGCAAAGTCAGGATAATTTTTGACTGCAAATCTTGAGGCCTTTTCTTTGTGACTACTCCTAATGTAGTGCTCTTATAATTTGTTGAATAATGTTTTGATTAGAGATTTATGGTCAGTTGTGTGAATGTTGGATTTTGATTTCCTGTATAAACAAGGCCTACATGTGTTTGCATGTGTTTGTTGATTGACTGTGATTCTGAATGGTTGCTTTCATGTTACTGGGTCTAGAACAAGTCATTTGTAGTTGACTTAACACTACAGTAGCATTGGTAATGGACTGTTTCTTATCAATGCTGTGATCTTTATTTTAAAAATAAGATAACAGAGGAGAGACACTTTGTTATTCATTGGAACCTTCTAAAGAGAGCTTATGGAGTTACTTAGGACATTAGAGATGGGACAGGCTGTTCTGTTACAGCATCAGCCATTGTAGGAGAACATTTCACGAGACTCTCCCAGGTCCTGAGCCTGTTTCAGCCCCGGAGGATGCCATCTCATGATTGAGAGACTGCACTTTTTTCGAAAGCTTTTATAAAGAAGTCTTGTTTTTCAAGTCCACTTTTTAAGTTTTTTTTTCTATTTGTGACTTGTTTATCACCTACCTCCTTGTCCCTTAGTGCTTGTATAATGCTTAGCACATGGTAGCTTTTCAATAAATTTATTGACTTCTAGAGTGTGATTTCCCCTGCACAAAACATCTGCAGATATGGACTGCTGTTTTGGGGTTTTTTGTTCCTTTTTTTTTTTTTTTTAATGATTTGAGATTAAAGGTAACTATCCTGTGACTAGATTTTCTGGAAGTTTTTCGTATTTCTTTTAGTTTGTTTCAGGACCTCTTAATTTTTTTATAGTTTTATTGAAGCATAGTTAACATACAATAAGCTGCACATATTTAAAGTGTGCATTTTGATACATTTTGACATATCTTAAACCTGTGAAACCATCACCAGTATCAAGATAATGAATACATTCATCATCCCCTATTGTTTCCTTGTGCCTGTAACCTTTTCCCCTTTTTCCTCTCTCTGGGCAAGTTAAACATACAACTACCACGTGATCCAGCCGTTCCACTTCTAAGTGGTCACCCAAGAGAAATGAATGCATATGTCTGCCCTAAGACTTGTACTAGAATGTTCATAGAAGCTTTATTCATAATATCGCAAAGTGGGAGTGTACAGATGTCCATCAGCAAGTGAGTGAATAAATTGTGGTATATCACACAATTGAGTACTGTTCAGGAATAAAAAGAAATGAACTATCATGTTTTGTTTGAATTGAAGACTGCCATATTTGAAGCAGATTTGTTTTCTTTGTTGCATTTCTTTCTTTCTTCCTTTTTTTTTTAACTGTTCTATAACTTTTTTTGGTAGTATAATTGGTTTACAGTGTTGTGTCAATTTCTGGTGGTGTGCAGCATAGTGTTTGTCATAGCATTCCTTGATTTGTGTTAATATTGACTTTCATCCCTTAGCATATCTGCTCCCCTCCCTCCACCTATGGAGGAAACTAGCCTGACATTAAGAAGTTAGTTATAGATGAACCATGAAATGATGTAAGTTATATTTGGGTAATTAAGTGTTGATTATTGCTGGAAAAACTTACAGTCAAAAATGGTCACTACAGTTTGTTCTGCTACAGGACTTGTATCTGTAACACCAAGTAACTTACACAGTCAGTAAATAAGAGATGATATCAGTGATGGTGTGTGGGTTTATGTAAGATTTTTCACAGGCAAAGGGAGTGGAAGAAAGGAAGCATAACTAAAAAGGAAAGGCGAAAGCCCTCAGATTGGCTGCTGCACAAACAAGTTCTTTCATGTGTGGTTTAAGAACAATAGAGGTTAGTCCCTGGAAAAACAAACTAGTTCCCTCCCCAACTCTGGTCAGCTCCTGGAGGGCGGTACACTTGACCCTCTGTAGCTGTGGGTTCTGTGGTTGGTTGAATCTGTGGTTGCCGACCATTCTGCATTATTTTAATATGAGGCACTTGAGCATCCCCAGACTTTGGTACCTGGAACCAATCCCAGGCCTGTACCTGTATTTACTCACGTGCCCACCTTAACAGCAGCCTCCATCTCCGTTGTTTTAGTGCCTGCACATCTTTATTTTCACTTTATTGTTTTTGTTCATTATTTCCTGAGGCAGTCCCTAACCATGCTGAATTGTTTGTTGGAGTCAACCACGTGGTCTCCCGAAAAGCCATCTGTTATTTTTGTTAGATTCAGTTTACAAAGTTGCATGAATTTTGATTCCTCTGTTCCAGCTCTAATTTTACTCCCTTTATTTTTTATTTTGCAGAATGAGATTTTTTTTTCAAGAACACATATGTGACATTCTAACAACAACAAAAACCCTGAAATGTTAAAGTAGTTTATTTTAAACAATATACTGGAAATGTGTTTATGATTTTTAGCTAATACTTAGATCTTGGTTACTATATATCAGATGTTCTAAGCGCTTATCAAAGATTAGCTCACTTTCTCCATAACAGTGCTACTTAGTGAGTCTGGTATTATCGTTTTATGGAAAAGGGAACTGAAGAAAAAGAGAGTATGAATAATAGATATTCAGAAGCTGGGAAACTGATGGCAAATGTAAACACTGCTAAAATTGTTGTAATAGTTTTTTTTCACTTTTCAGTTTTATTAGGTAGAATTGTTACAGTTTTACTGCACATATTGCATGTAAATACATATATACAATATACTGCACATATTTTTAAAAATTTATATATATGTACCATTCCTGTACCTTTATATATATGGTTCCTAAGAATGTTTAGAGCTTTAGCTTTTTAAACTTACATAGTTATCAAAAGAATAAAGCCACCCACAAAATAAGATTCAACAGAATGCAGCAATCCAGTCATAAAGGACCATCAAATGTGCCTACACATATTCAAGAAATCAGTCATCTAAGTTATAAACAATAAGTAGTTCATTTGTGTCCTTTTTCTTAGATTCCACATATAAATGATATCATACGGTATTTTTCTTTCTCTTTCCCGCCCAGTTCACATAGAATGATGATCTCTTGGTTCATCCATGTTGCTGCACAAGGCATTATTTTATTCTTTTTTATGCCTGGGTAGTATTCCATTGTATATATATACACAACATCTTTATCCAGTCATCTGTTGATGGACATTTGGGTTGTTTCCATGTCCTGGCTATTGTAAATAGTGCTGCTATGAACTTTGGGGTGCATGTGTCTTTTTGAATTATATTTTTCTCTGGGTATATGCCCAGCAGTGGGATTGCTGGATCACATGGTAAGTCTATTTATAGTTTTTTAAAGTATCTCCATACTGTCCTCCATAGTGGTTGCACCAATTTACATTCCCACCAGCAGTGTAGGAGGGTTCCTTTAAAATTGTTATAATAGTATTTTGGGGAGTCATTTCATTTGATTACTTACATATGGTTTTCAATTTCTTCCTAGGCATATTACACCTGAAAAATTTTATGTGGAAGCTTGTGATGATGGAGCAAATGATGTACTTATCATCGACCGCGTGTCCACAGAAGTTACCCTCTCAGGTATTTTATAGCCAGGTTTAGAGATGTCAGAAAGATTTTACACCTACGTTGCAATAGTTAAATTGATGAGAGCTGTGTCAGCATGCGGATCTCTGAGTGTCTTCTTAGAAAATTTCAATTCTTGCTACCTCATTTGATTTTTATATATTTTATGCTTTCTTTTCATGAAATGGAGAAATGATCTTGAAAATTTTAAGTAGCATTTTACTACTGGAAAGGATTTAAAACATAATCATTTCTTTCTTCTGTTAGTGGTACTGTCATAGGACTGGTTCTATTGATGTGAGTTTCTTTCTAGCTGTAAGATTTAAAGTATTGGAGTGTGAGAAGGTTGTTTTAGCCTTAAGTATGTGGAATTTTAACAGTTGCTTTGTTTTTGAAAATACTCATGACAGAATAATTTAATAAATGAAAAATAATATGTGTATCACTGACTAAAACTTGTGTTTTAGGCAGAATGATTTATTTTTTAATTTAATTTAATTTTTTTATGTTCACATAAAGACCTTTATTCATTGTTACAATGGCTTTGTTCATAATCTCCTAAATCTGAAAACAACTCATGTCCTTCAGATGGTGAGCAAATAAACAAATTGTGGTACAATAGGACACAACTCAGTAATAATAGAGAACAAACGACCGATACATGCAGCAAGATGGACAGATCTCAAATTATATGGTATAGGCAGAATGATTTATCTGTCTTATCTATCCAGTTATGTTTTGGTTTTATTTCTTTGGGGTATGAAAAACAACTTGTTTTTCAGTTGTGTGGAACACTGTTTTCTGACTAGGTTAATGTGAAATAATTTTGGTGACGAATTAATGTACCACGTGATAATCGCATTTAGAATTTCATATTTCATTTGTTTAAAAATTCACCTCTAGACAGGGTTCTATATTGTTTTCTTCTTAAGTATAGTATTTGAGTAATCATAGAGTAGGCATTCAGTAAATAGTAAATATCATTTGAATGGATAAAGTGTAACATGAAAATATTTTGCATAGGTGCTGAAGTGTAAGAAAAGTATGACTGTAGGTTTTAATTTCGTTGGTTATCTGGTTATTCTGGTAGTGCCATATATAACTTTTCCTTTGACCAAACAGGATGAGAGCTGTTTTAGTTTGATAATTTGGTATTTCTTATGACTGTTGCTCTGTGGCTGCTCTCTCAGAATAGCTGAGTGGTTTTAACCACTGTTTGTCCACTTCTTCTAAAGTTTAGTCACACTACGTCTTTAAACTGTATTGATACAACGTAAATGTTTTAGCGTGGCAGGGAGGATATAGCTTAAGTGGTGGACTGCATGCTTACCATGCATGCATGAGGTCCTAGGTTCAGTCCCCAGTACTTCCTCTAAGAATAAATAAGTAAGTAAACCTAATTACCTCTCCCCCACCACCAAAAAACAAATAAGTAAATAAAAGCTTTAGCATGGGTGTGTTTTCAATTATTTTTGATCTTTCAGTGACATTTTATTTGTAAGCAGAGATTGGAGACCCATTTGAGTGGACAAAGCTAAAGGTCATGAACAGTGTGGATGTAAAAATGATACCGCAGTCATCAGCAAACACATGAAGAGATACTTTGACCTGAAGCCGGTGATGATGAGGGCCTGATCCACTCACAGTTTCTCTGCCGGTTTCTTTATACCACTGGGAATGCAGACTATTGCCACAGAGAGGCATGAAAAAGGCAGAGAGGCAGAAAGAGGCATCGTTTTCTTCCATGAAAAACTAACATATTCTTAGAAATTATCATAGTTTTATTACTATTCCACTCCAGTTAATATAACTTAACATCTCTGTCAATTGTACATTTATGTTTATCAGATGATCTCACTATATTCAAGGATTTTCTCTGAACTTTGCACTGGTATTTCCATTCTTCATGTTAGTTAATTGTGGCATAGCATTGCTAAGTAAGCTGGATTATCGAGAGAAACAAATGGATTTTAGATCTTTATTCAGAATTACTTTATTCAGAGTAACAGGACTGCCTTTAAGAAACAGGACTTGGGTTTACAGTAGTGTTTCAAAATGTGTTCCGGGATGATAAGTTAACTGTAACTGAAAGAAAAGTTTTATAGCCACGTAAGTTTGGGAAAACTTTGAATTAAACAGTGGAACAGCTTTCTTTTGCCGTAGGCCTCCTCAGAGCCTTCCTTCTGCTGTGCACTGTGACTCTGGGAGAGGGCGCAAGGGGAGTATGGATGTAGCAAAATAAGCTTCTTGGACTGGGAGACCCTACCTCCCCACCTTTTGGGCATTATTCCCTGAACTAGAGTTCTACAAAATGTTTTGTGAAGCACGTTGGCTTAAAGTTTAACAGCTGTGAAATGAACCTTGTCATCTAAGGTGTTCTATTAATAAGGGCATTGTTGATAAAATCACAGGTAATGATGATGCCTTCCTGCACACCTGCGTAAATTTCTGTCGGACATGAGCAGGAGGCTTTTCCTTCCTCCTTCTGCCTTCGGATCTCTGCCTCCATTTCCACATTCTTAGACAGGAACAGGCAGGTCTTTTTTTTGCATTCCATTTGTTACACGTTGAGATTAAAATTTTTTCTCAACTTCTCCTTCCGTTTACTTTCTAATTCTCGTAAAGGGATAGGGACTTGGTGTCTGACAAGAGGTTTAAGAATTTAGTTGAAAATTGACATTAGAAATAACCCTTAATTTACCTGGTGAGGTTTTGAAGCATGTTACTTTTGGTACCATATTCTAGACAGGCAGAGACCTTTATGTGTAATGTGAACATCTTTATTTTAATTCTGCCAAAATGGAGGTCTAACAAAAGTGAAGAATATTGCTTTCCTAGAACAAAGCATGCATATTGATTCAGTTGAAGTAACCATTGGCATGAAACTAAGTTTCTCTTTCTGTTGGTTAGCTTTTTCTAAGCGATTTTTCTTTTTTTTTTTTTTTAAGTCAAGAAAGATATTCCTCCCTCAGCTGTCACAAGACCAATATTTGGTATTCTGGGCACAATCCATCTGGTGGCAGGTAAGAAAAACAAAGATGGACAAAGCAGGTAACTAAGTTGACACTATTAGAGTAGAAGATGAAGACATACTTTATACCTTGCTTTTGGCAATACTTCTGTACGTTAAGTATTTGTCAGTAATTTCTATAAGTAATAGACCCCAAATAGCAAGCGGTTACATTTATAAGCCTGAGGTTCTATTTTTTAAAGTTTTGATTTTGGTTTTATTCAACTAGAGTTGAAATCCCTTGTCAACTAGACATTTTTCATAAATTCTAAGAGTATTTAAATAACAGTTTTAATGCATTGAGGGATCAGAGTATTCTGCACCTTCAGCTCCATAATGGGGTTGAATACGACATAGTGCTGCAAGTTAGAGAATGTTACCTGGTTCTGAGTTATCAGGAAAGTGATTTTGTTTATCTAGATTTTATTTCGTTGACCTTTTAAAAAAGTTCCTGTTGTATCAGGCACCGTACTAGATGTTCTTTATAAAAGGTGGAAGTCCTTTTGTCGTGCAGTGACAGTCCAGTGAGAGAGGCATTTGAGTAGTAAGTTACTGCAGTACAGTGTGACAGGTCCTAGGAGAGAGATGTGCATAGGAAAAATTTCAGGGAGGGCACTTGTGGTAGAGCCCTGAACAGATCTGAAGAACTAATCTAGGAGTAAAGGCTTTTCCCTGTTTATTTGTGGGAGGAGGAGGTAGCCAGGATCAGAGCTGGTGTCTCATGCACGGTGCTGTGATGGCTTCTTGATTCCTGACTGTTCTTTGCAGTGTTGCGGTAACCGGTTAGTTATGCTCCCCTGGCACGTGTCTCTACCATTTAGAATGATGTGAAGGGCTTGGGAGGTGTAGAAGGGACGTTGTCCTGCATGGCCAGATCTCATGACCTATGATGCTTTAAGCTACACATTAGGAAATGCATAAGCAGAGCCCAGATGCTTTGGGGATGATGGGGCTAGAGAGAGAGAAGTGTTTTCTCTCTCTGCTTTCTATCTGCGAGGGTCACTGCTCTGGCTACCAAAGGTAACTTTTGCTTTTATCTTTTTGAGAAAAAATTGGATCTTTCAGTAAAGACTTTTCTAAGTAATATACTGGTCTTTCTATTGATAAATTGTGAGTGCTTTAAAACAAGTATGGGTCTTTTATCTATTTAGCACAGTTCTGCTAGCCTTCAGAGTTTGAGCAATAAGGACTGCTACTTTTGGTTTTACAGTTGCCTTGTTCATAGTTATGTGTGTTTGGCTTTGCTTTTTGCAGGTAATTATCTAATTGTCATTACCAAAAAGAAAAAAATAGGTGAATTTTTCAATCATGTAATCTGGAAAGCAAC